GTGCTTTGACCATTATCCAATTTTTTTTCATTTAAAAAAGATTCTAACGAACGGTTCATCTGGAAAGGAGCCTGGCACTGCTTTAGCCATTTTGAGTTGCTGAACTTCACCCTCTAACCTCAGGCGCCGGCAGTCTTGCATTTCGATAAATTGCTGTACTGGCTAGAAGAAAACGTAGAGTTTCGAACATATTTGCAGATTGCCACAACAGCAATTTTCACAGTTGATGCCAGCTGCATTCGAGAATTTGATTTCAATATCGGATAGCAAATCGCCATTCTACGAAGTTTGCACGAAACATTTCATACATTCTGTCTTTCATCGTTTCCCAACCAATTTTATTGATGGTTTAAAGCTTTGCCTTGCAGGTATGAGAGGAATTTGTCCATATTTTTTTTTTAAAATTTTTACTTCTGAGCCCCTCAGTTTTTTCTTAATTTTGAAGTAACTTGCAATATTTTTTTGGGATTTATGCTTTGCATGCCTGCACTCGTTATGTGGGAGCATCCCAGTAGCATCAGTAGCATTGAATCATCGCTCCAACTTTAGCTGCGGTCTTGGCAGTTTTGGCATTGTGTCTGAAACATTATTAAAAAACTCCGTACACCAAAATATATGACAGACTTTTGAAGTAATCCCGTAAAACTCTAATGCATATATTACGTACGCAATAGTACGTCGATTGTGCGCGCAGTGTTAATTTTTCTCAGACATTCTCTTTTCTACTCTAATCAGCTTTTTCTTTTCATCATTGCGTTTCTTCTCGCCATTCATACAGTTGGATTTCTCTATTTATTTAATTTCGTAGAGTGTTTCGAGCGAATCTTTCCACTGAATTGACGGTCTTCCCTGTGTTCTTTTAACATTTTGTGGTTACCATTTAGTAATCTGCATTGCCCATCTGTTGCCTCTTATTCTTACCGAATGACTGGTGCTGGCGTTCTTCCTAGTGTGTATACTCTGTTGATAATGTCGCTTATGCCGGACCGGAATCACAATATTTCATTGACAATCTGTTGTGCTGGTGGCCAACATACATACGACTAGTTTGGCCAGACCATCTGTGTTTTGTAAGCATAATCCATGATTAACAGGGTAAACAAAAATGCTTTTTCCAACCTCAGATTATCGAAGTTGGAATGCTTTATCACTGATTTTTACGCTGAACCTTTTTTATGTTTTCTGAATATCGTGAGTTCCATAAAAACAAGGTAGTGTCTTTTAGGATGCGATACTAAAAGCACTCCGGAATTCATATTTGACAAAATTATCGAGCAGCTCGGGGCAGACAAGATGGATGCGAAGGACTCGAAACCCGAGTACACTGTTGATATTACCACTGCAAGTTTTAATTCTTAAATAGCCCTTAAATATGGCCTCGATTTGGCAGGTTTCGTTTAGGAAAAGGGTAAAAAAAGGATGTAAATGAATTTTGAAGTGACAAAGGTCGATGTCGATGTTGGTGTGAGTTGCAGTTTTGAATGGTGTTTCTGGTGACATTTTTGGTGTTAGCCGTTGCTTTATCTTTACTTTGAGCAGATTCGTAGTTGAGAATTCATACGAACATAGACTGATTTTGAAATTCATACGGATTTGGTCAGAACTGTTCCGAATTGGTTGTATTACATAACTTTTCGAGACGTTTTTGGCTAGTGCTACTTCGCACTTTGGACAGCCTTAGCATCATCATTTCATCTCAAACGCTGCCTTTCCTACTCCATAATGGGAATCCTTTACTGACCCGAGTTTTATTTTGGCCAGATCAGGTCATTTTTTTTAGAAGATCTGTGTCATAGTTTTGTACGGTGTGAAAATGTTACAGCGG